CTCCTTGCTGTATATATAGGGAAATATTGACTTTGTCAAGATGAACTTTGACGTTCTAAAAATTAACTTTGGTGTTGTAAAATTGAACTTTGATGCAAATTAGGTGTCAGGTTTCTTTATTGGATTTTAATAAACTAAACGTTCACCAAAAAACTTTAGTGAGAAAAATCGAAAAAACGAACTACAAACATATTAACGCCAAACATTCGGTAGAATTTATAGAATATTGTAAAAATATAAATAAATATATACATACATACATACATACACATATACATATTTATATATAATGTGTGTGTTTGTGTGTGTTTTTGTATGTGTGTTTGTATATGAGTGTATGTTAGCCAAAAAAAACATAAACCTAAAAAATAAACCGAATAAACATGACAAACATACAAAAAGATGATTAGCACACTCATCTAATTTACCGATAAAATACAAAGTCACCGAAAAAGTCTTTTTAAACAGTCAAAATATTTTTAAATTAAAATGTATGTAGGTATATATATATATATATATATATATATATATATATATATATATATATATATATATATATATATATATGAAAGACTATATGATGTAGCTAATTATCATTGTCTATTAGCAATAATTAATCAACAATAATTAAACGTTTGTGATGTAATAATGGTGAATGGTGGTAATAATAATAATAAATAATAATAATAAGAACGGTAGTAATAATAATAGTTTGAAAAAATTAATCCTGAATAATGCATAATAGTAATAATAAAAATAAGACAATACAATAAGATTTTATTAACTTATATTAAATTTGCAGTTTCATGAAACAAAATACAAACACAAATACACACACAAACACATACATACACACATACAAACACATACATACAAACACAAATACACACACAAACACATACATACACGCATACAAATACTTACATACACACAAAAACGCATACTATCCCAAAAATCAATGCTTATGAGCTTTCATGTCATTTCGTCTAACAAATATATGTTAATGTTTTGCATTTTATCTAATTTCAATTTTTTTCAGATATACGCTAATGATGAAGATTAAACATTCGTTGCATCTTTCTACTCAACTCTTAGGTAAAAAAAATCGAATAGATGGTTATTTAATTTATCTTTATAGAAAAGGTTCTAAGAAATTGATTCTAGAACGTTGTATCTGATCTGGTAACAGTTGTTTAACATTTCGTTTATTTTTGCTCTTTCTTCCCTTTTCCCAGTTACGTATCAAACATGCAAACATCTGAAGAGATACATCTGAAGACAAACATCTATACAACATACAAAAATGTATGAAAAATTGATACCAAACAATCCCACTGAGCAATACTGAAAATGCAGTAATTTTACTTAATAAGCTAAAATTAACATGCGGAATACTAATTACACATACTACGGGTTTAAAAAAATATATACTATATATGCATTTTTGACACTCTTAATCCTATATATATGTATATATATATATATGTGCGTATGTGTGTTATCTATTAAATTTATTAGCATACAAGATACAGTCTTATTTGTAATACGATTTTTGTGCAGATGATAATAATGAGGCAAATAAAGATGGTGATGATAGAAAAAATGTAATGATAAAGTCAATTTGATCAAGTCAATGTTGTTGTGTTGTTGTTGTAACACTTCTGATTAAATAACATAGCATAACATGACATAACATAAGAAATATTTCCACTTCGAGATTTTAAAATCCTATTTTTTGCCAAGTGTGCTTTGAAATTAACATAACATAATGTTATAACCGACCCCTTGAACTTGTAGGGCATGGTTATTTCTCTCCAAGTGGATACTTGACTCCTGAACAGACTTATTCCAGATGAACTTTACCAGAAAGAAAACAGTGCTGGCAATCACTTGCGTGTGATCAATCACTCGGTTATTCAATCGTTAAAATCGTTAGAATACAGCACAATAACTAATCGACAGGTAAATCACGGAATAAAACCAATCGTCAATAATTAAGCTTCTCTCGTCAGATGTTTCTTGGCCGTAAATCCTCGGTATTCGCATCTCTGAAGATTATCGTGATTCACTCGCAGACCGCGTGTAGAATTCTTCGTGATAAACTTTTCCTCGGACGTTATCGCTAATTTGCTTGCAGTAGGCACACAAAATATCTCTGCGATAATAGGACTCTTTTTCTGGTTGAAACTTCTTCTGACCTCTTCTTAATTCTCGCTTTTCTTTTCTTCGTGTTTTCTACATTTTCTCAATCTATCTTTGTATTGAAGTTTTCTAAGACTTTTGATCATCTTTGTTGCTCTCCGCTGTATCTTCTCAAGAATGTCTTAATCCATTTGCAAATCTGGACTCCACACCTAAACACAGTATTCCAGATTGGGTCGAAATAAAGTTTTATAAAAATTTAAAATTATCGACTTCTCCTTGCTGACCACTGTTCTTCTAATAAAACCAAGTATTTAATTTGATTCGCCACTGCGTTTGCACACTGTCTTGATGTTTTTGTGCTTCTGTGAATGGTTGCCCTAATGATATTGAAGGCCTTTGTTCATTCTTCCCATGTGCATAACTTAACATATATCTCTAATAAAAAACATTTGCCAATCTTCAAGCCACTTGTACAAATCCTGTCTTAACACTTCCGTACCTTCCTCATATTTGATTAAAATATTAGTTGTTTCATTTTCCAGTTTGTTCCATTTATTGACAACTCCACAGCTAAAAAGTGAATGTTTTACTGCTTCCGAAATTTCTTTCTTAAAATGACGATGATGACGAAGCGATGATAATGAAAATTTAGTGATGTTAAAAGGTGTGAGAGTATAATAATAACGATGATGTAAAGACGGTGGCAATGGCGATAATGATATGTTTGATCAGTTGATTCATAAAAACAAATTCGCACCAATCAACGTTAATGAAAGAACAAAACACAACGACAGTAAGACATAGCAAATATGAGTTTCACGACATTAAAAACCACACAAATACAAATAGTAATAATTAAAATAATAATAATAATTATAAAAAAATAATAAATATAAAAAAATACAGATGTTTGTGTTATCAACATTAGCATTCGAAATCTTTTTTTCTTCAAAAAATAAAATTCTACAAAATATATAGTATATGGATGGCTATTGAAACATGAACGGATTTTATTATAAATAGTACCACACTCAATATTATATTAAACATATATATATATATATATATATATATATATATATATATATATATATATATATATATATATAAACTCACATACATATCTATATATATACATAAATTGTTCTCACATATTTTTTAATATATATATATATATATATATATATATATATATACATCTTCTGCGGATCTAACCAAGATTGTTATTACTATTAATCTCGCTTAGATATTCATTCCCCAGAGGTTATGGATTAAATGCTTATTGAACCAGCGAATTTTAAGTTCCTGTTTGAATTTGTTAACTGAAACAATTCGTTTCAAACTCAGTCGTAGATCATTCAAAATTTTGGCAAAGCAACTTGCATTCATCTATCACCCCGCTTTGTCTTCGTTCTGGGGACTGCCATCAATTCAATTGACAAACTATTTTGAATACTTCACACTTTTTTAACTTAATCATCAATCAATCATTCATTCATTCAATCAATCATTCAATCGATCAATTAATCGATCAATCAATCGATCAATTAATGATCCTCTTTAACCTTTTGAGAAACGATTTTGATCAATAGCGTCCATCTTTTTCATCCATTTTTTCATTTTCAAATTCAGAGGGTCAAAAAAGCAGGAATTACTTGCATGGAGCACTCTGATTTTTTAAAATCATTTCTTTTGGTGTCTTCGTTCATTAGATAAAGGTCGAAACGTGATAACTCGACAAAAAGACTTGGATTGTAAAGAACGATTTCCTCTTTTTTGCTAAATTTAATGAATTCTTTTTCTTCTGCAGTTTTAAGGTGTTCTAACTCTGGTAGGCTATCTTTACGTCTTTGTTGTGAATCTTTTTGAAAAGATTGTTGTGAATTTTTTTGAAAAATATGATGCTTTTCATTTTTTAAATTGAGCGTTCCATTCTTTTTGTCATTTTCATATATGAAGTGTTCACACTCATGTCGTGATGTGGTGTTGGAAGAATCGATGGAGGATCTAAGTGAGATTGCGATGCTAACTGATCTACCCTTTCGTTACCTTCAATTCCAAAGTAGCTAGGGATCCATATTAAGGTTAGATTATTTTTTAAATTTAACTATTATTGAATACAACGCTTCCATCTTTGTCTATTCCGTCATTTATCCATTTATATCTGGTACTTATAATCCGGATTTCCATTTGTAACCATTTTAATATATTGTTTATTTGCAATGTCACAGTCTTTTTTGCTTTATGCTTTTGGTGTATATAAAACCCCAAATAACAATTAAAACGTTACAAGTCTTACTTAATCAATAAAATCCTGTACAAATATAGGCTAAAATAAGAAACTGTTTGCTTCAAAAATAAAAAAGTTCATTTTATCAATAATATTAATCACGATTATTATGTGCCATGTTTGCTACCGATATCTTATAACATGTCACACATTTGAAAGATTTCCGAACGTAGGAAACATGTGGACCATTCATACATCCAACTAACTAACTAACTAACTAACTCATCTGTTTACGCCTCGTCTATCTACATCACTTTTCACTTTTATCATACTCCCTGGTTATAATGAATCATCTTACATTTGACTCGGCAACAGCTGCGTAGGCGTTTCCGCTTAGCTGCAGCAGATGGTAAGCAGCCGTTGCTGTGATGGGATCGGAAGTAAGCGTGGACACGTGATGATCTGCTGATGACGTAGACGAAGTTAAACATATCGTCGGAAATGACGTCGTTATTGGTATCGTCGTCGTCGTTGAGGATTTTGTTGAAGTTGTCGACGTGGATGGCGATGGCGACGAGGAGGTAAAAGTTGAGGCGTTCGATAAGTGAGTCCTTCTAGTTCTTGGTCTGGTGAATAAATTTTTTATTTTTTAGCGCCTAACTTTGGTAGTTATCATAATTTTCAGTGTCAAATTTAATTAGATTTTTTATAATTAGGTTATGTCGTGGTGTGATTAACAGACCTGTAGCGATAATTGGGATGTTTTTCCATGTGCAGACGACTTAGCCTCGATTGTTCTTCGTAAAATGGCTGTTTCTCTTCGGCTTTCATCATTTTCCATTTGGCACCTGAGTTCGTCAAACAATTTTTGAAACAAGAATTATGATGATATTAATAACAAAAGCAATAATTATAACGAAATTGATAATATTAACAACAACATAATAACTATTAGGAAAAGTTTTTCTTCATAAAAATTGAATTCACACATTTCAACGGACGACGTTTAATCGAGTGATTCAGTCAATGAATCATAATCAGTCATTTATCTATCTATATAGCTGAATCATAACTCAAACAATCATGCATTGTATAATCCGACCTAAATAATCAACGACCCTTCAATATGACCAACTTTACTGACCAGCCAGCCAGCCAACTGACCTAATATTTTACTGATACTGGAGTTGTGCATGTCTGGATACGCCTTTAATATCATCCTCCTCTCTTCCCTAGCCCATACCATGAAAGCATTCATTGGCCGTTTCACGTGTGGTTCGTCTGACTCCTCTTCATTGTTGTTGTTTGTCGTCGCGTCTTTTGTGGCCGCAGCTGTTTGGGACTGTGGTAGCAGCTGTTGGATGCCACGCTTCCGTTTAGGGGTTGATGGAGTTGTGGTGATGGGAATGGCGGCCGTCCGGATGGGCGATGGGTTGGTCGATATTTTCACTGAGGCTGGTTTCAAAATTAATTGCGTCTGGTCTGGTAAGAAATATGTTAATAAGATGTAGTACAATGAAATATTTATAATTGTAATTGTTGATTAATCATAAAAATAATTAGTTGTTAGCAATGATTTATCAGTTAATTATCAATAAAAAAAAACATGAAAATTATTTAGGCGGTCCTTGTATGAACTTTAAGTTTTGAATGTGTAATTCTCAACTGGTTACATTAAACTAATTGATGGCGGAACCGTCATTAGCTCGAACAACCCGTTTTTGAAAGATAATAATTGCTATTATATCAATTATAACAGCAAAACTCAACATCAGCTGCTAGACAAGCAACTGCATTACGTAATTAATTAAATGACGTTAATGATTAAATCGAATGTGGTTATTACAGAGATAATAATTAATAATAATTACATAAACGATGATGATGATGACGATGACAAAAATAATGATTGCCCTTTTAAACCAACCTGACGATTTGGCTCCCAGTAACTTGATTTCTGAGTTTATGATGGAGTTATAAACAGTGGATGCTGGCGAATCAACGACGATCGAGAACGTGGACTGCTGCTGCTGCTGCTGACGCTGAATTTGCTGCTTAATCTGTTGCAGTTGTAATTGTTGCTGTAAGAGGACGTCATTAGTAAAATATGATTGGCCGGTTTGAATCGGGCTGATTGTAGGTTGATTCTGATTGGCTGTGTCATAGGTGGATGTGTGGGCACCTTCGTACGACTGACCGCTGTACATGTCTGGCATTACTTCGGTTTTGCATTCCTGGTTTTTAGCACATACAGAAAATGTTTAAGTTGATTCTGACATGCGTGCATTGACGTTGACATGCGTGCACTGCCCATAAAATAAAACAAATAAGAAATATAATTCTAATATATTCAACAAAATTTTTTACATAATGAAACAACATCACGAAAAATGACAACAACAAATAGTTCACTTCTTTTATTATGGTGGGCTCGCTGTCAGCTCCTTCCAAATCAATGGGAGGAGCGTTTGGAAGATTTGGCTCGGGCTTTATAACAATAGTGTTGTTCGGTAGACCATTGTTAGTGAGACTGTTGTGGATGTTATTGTTTAGATTAGCGCCAAACACGAATTGATTCTGTTTGAGTTGTTCAAGAACTTTCTGTATAAATTCACTACTTTTATTCGTAATGTTGTTGCTGTTGTTGTTGCTGTTGTTGTCGTTGATGACGGGGCACATGTTAATAGATTCACCATTGTTGCTTATTCTGATTATGTTGTTGTTCGTTGTAATGTGGTTGTTCAACAATGTCTGGGTAGCGCTGCTACTACCGGTATTGTTGCTGCTGCTAAAAAAAACCGGATTATTTTGTGGTTTGTTGGCCAGCATTTCAATTAATTTTCTTGTGTTGTTGTCATTATCGACTACGAGTCCGATGACATTTTTGATGTTATTCTTGTTGCTGTCGTTGTTATTTAAAACGTTGTCCGCGTTAACAACGTTGTTGATGATACTTTTGATGCAGTTCGTGTTACTGGCATTGCTGGTCGAGTTTGGCATCTGAATGTTGCTCGTGTTACTTGAAAGGTTTTTACTTTTATGATTGGTTTCAAATGTCATACCACTGATCTTATCCGTTTTTGTTGTTCTCGAATAGTCGTTAATACAATTAACATCATTAAAATTCGGAAGCGTTTGAGAATTTGAACTGTCTTCAGGTTTGGCGCATGCAGGAAGAACAGTTTCGTCGTTGAAATTAGTTTGATGGCTAGATAAACTGGATTGTTTTTGAAGGTGCCAATGTTGTACACCTTGGTTGGTTGTAGTAAAGACAATATCTCTTCTGTGCGCGGGTGGTGGAGAGGGGAAAGTGTTTTCAGGGGGTGAGCAAGTAGTTGATGACTCACCTCTTAAGGTCAAGTCCATTGGGATATCGCCGATGTTGTTTGTTTTATCGGAAGTTATTGGTTTCATAGTGTCGTTTATTGTTGGCAACGTTTGGAAAGCTGTATTTTCCTGATGCGAAGTTGCCGAAACTGTTGTCAGCGACGCTGCGTGTTGATCGAGAATTTCCACAAATGGATACTGATGGTGGTGGTGGTGCTCTGGTCCTTGTTTCAGTTCACATTTGTTGTCTTGTTCTGGAGTTTGTATCGAAAGCTCAAGCGACTGTTTCGATTTTGTCAAATCAATTGTTAAGCCGATGTTGTCCGATTCCTCTTTTTTAGTGCAACACTTTGAAGTTGAGGGAATTTTCAAGATGTGTTGCGAGGGGAGAGTTGTGGTCGGCACTGGCAGGTGTTTGTTTTCCACCGGGTTAGGAGGTGTTAGCCTAGTTTTTGTTGTTAATGATGTAGGTAGTGGTAACGTATTTGAAGAAGCCAATTCACTGCAAGTTTTGTCGCTGCAATCGTTGAAAATCAGTTGTTGAGCTCGTTGCAGGACCTCTCTCACCATCTCAAGTTTTTTTATTGATGCTTGCAGCTGACTGACATCTTGTAGCTCTGATTCTTTCAGCTGTTTTGCTACCATTGATATTTCTTCATTTGAAAGGGTTAGACAGTCAAGATTGTTATCTTTGTTATTGTCTTTGTTACTGTCAATGCCATTTCTATCTCCATCATCATCGATGTTAGGAATGTTGTTGTTGTTGTTGTTGCGGTGGTAGTCTTTGCTGTTGTTGCTGCTTGTTGGTCTGCTGTCAATCAAAGCCAGCGTTTTAACCACTAGAGATAAAACAAAATTTTCATATTGTTGATGAGTATGTTGTTGTGGTTGTTGAGTATGTTGTTGTTGTTGTTGCGTATGTTGTTGTTGTTGAGTATGTTGTTGTTGTTGAGTATGTTGTTGCTGCTGTTCGATTTGTTCCTGATCATGACGTTGTTGTTTATAGTTAGTCGTAAGATTGATTAGAACATTTGCATCCGCGTCAATAGTGATGTTGCTGATGTTGTTGTTGATGTTGTTGTTGTTGATGTTGTTGCTGTTGTTGTTGTTGCTGTTGTTGTTGTTGTAGTCGCTAAATGATCCGCAGACTGCACTCTTTTGTGGATCTCCCTCACCATTTCTGATGTTGCTGTTTTGCAAGCTACCATCGCCGAAAAAATGGGGAGTTTTTTCGTAATCATCATCTGTTATGTCGTCATCATCGTCATCGTTACCATTTCCAACTTTAAGTTCGTTTGTATCTTCGGTATCATTTGTATCTTCGGTATCATTTGTATCTTCGGTTTCATTTGTATCATCGGCTCCATTTGTATCGTCGGCTCCATTAGTATCATCGGCTTTATTTGTATCGTTCTTTTCATTTGTATTTTCGGTTTCTTTGTTATCATGGATATCAATTGTATCAATCTTACCCTTCCTACCGCGGTCCCCGTAATGGTTATCGCCTTCGTTTTTATCAACACCCATGATCTCAATTATTGAAAGATCATTGTTCCTATCGTTATTATCATCATCAAACAGTTCGTTCTTTGTTTGTAAAAAAGCTGGCGATACTGATAATGATGTCGAAGTTGTTGTTGTTAATGATGATGATGAAGAAGATGATGTTATTGGTGAGTCAGCATTGTGTAGCGTTAAATTCTGCGCTGTAGTGATGAACTTTGTTAATTGTGTTTGATTACTAAACGTTTTCTCAGCTACTGACGACGATGATGACGACGACGACGATGATGGTTGTATTGCAGCGTTTGTGCAAGTTGATATTGTCGATGGTAATAATAACGAAGTTGCTGATGATGAAGTAGATGATGATGATGAAGTTGATGATGAAGATGATGTTGTTGAGGATGAGGAGGGAGAAAAAATTGCGAGACGGTTGTTGTTGTTGTCGATTTGAAATTGTGTATTTGTCAGCAACATTTTCGTATCATTGTTGTTGCTGCTGCTGCTGCTACAGCGACTGCTGGCGCTTTTGTTGTTGCTGCTACTGCTTAGACGGCAAAAAACTTGACCATTAATGATTTTGATGTTTTCGTTCGTGATGCTGTCAATATGGTCGTAGCAGTAGTTGTTGCTGATGTTGATGTTGCCGGCATTCTCAACGCAATACTCATATAACTGTACATCTTTGCTATCATTCGGATTAATATTTTCTGGATGATTTAAACTTCCAAATTTGGTGTGGTCATCAACATTGCTGTGGCCAATATTATTGTTCTGGTCAATATTATCAGTGTTGTGGTCATTATTGTTGTTGTGGTCAATTTTATCAGTGTTGTATTCACTATCGTTTTTGTGGTCATTTTCATTATTGAAATCCACATTTTCGCTGTATGCCTTACACTGTGCATCTGAATTAGGTGTCCGACCATTCATTTTGTATCATATATTTTCTGTGATATTATTATTTTGAATTATCTACTATTATTGTAGTTATTGTTATTATTACCATTAACACCAGGCTTGATAAGGATCAATTAGTTTTATTTGTTGTAATATTATTAATATTATTATCACGGTATTATATTGTGGCGATAAACTTCTGGTTAACTGTAGCAATGACAACAATAATGAATATTAAATTTATGATAATAATATTATTTTATATATTATATTATATTCATTAATTAATTGAATAGTAAAATAAATAATTAAATAAACAACAATTTACTTAAATAGAATTTTAAAATCCTGTACAACAAGGTGTAAAGATCGATTGAGAATAGCAATCATCAATAAATGAAAAACACGTTATTAGCTTAAATCTTAACAATGCATTCTTCGTCTTAGCCTTACAAATTCGCAAATGAGTAGAACTAATAATTAAAATAACATTAATAATAACAATTACAACAATAACATTAACAAGAGTAATAAAAATATATTGCGTTATTAACAGAG